GCACAGCAGCGCCGGCTTCAGCAGGCGGCTCAGGCGGCTCAAGCTCATCGCGGCGGCGGCGGGGGCGCTCGGACGCAGCGGCTCCTCCCCTCGCCGAGCCGGCCAATGGACGCGCGCCGGCGCGCCTCGCCTCCCCGCCCTCGGCCACGCCCACCAGAGCCCTCATTGGTCGGCCCCTCCTGCGCTGCGGGCACGTGGTGGCGCCAGCCAATGGGAACTCGGGGTGAGGGGCGGTCGGGGGCGGGGCCGGGGCGGGGCTGCGGCTTCGTTGCTGTGGGAGACTGCGCATGCTCGCCGCAGGGCAGGAGGGCGGGCGGCCGCGTCTACGCAGTCGGCGTGTGGGTGCGTAGCGGCCAGTTATCCGGGTGGCTGACCGCGGCGCCGCGGGATGCGCGATAACTTGAAATACCACTTGACACCGGGGGTGGAAGTGGCTCGAACTCGCAGAACAATCGCCCCAGCTCATTGAAAACTGCGGGTTTTCTTTTTAATGTAAATAAAATCAAACTGGGAGTGGGGACGCCCGCCCCTCGGAGCTGCAGTGTCGCTGCGGGGGTGCCCCGCGAGGCCCGGGGGTCACCCCGGCGAGACCCCGGACGGAGGCTCCTGCCGCAGTGTCCGCCCTTGGTGCGGAGCGGCCGGTGCGGCACCGTCCCGGGCACCGTGGCTTCAGCTGCTGCGCCAGGTGACAGGTGCGCCCTGGGGTCATTGAAACCGTCACCGTGTAACCGGGCACCTCGGGGCCCCGCCCCGGGGAGGTGGCACGAGGCACGCACAGGTGTGTGCTTACAACGAAACACACCCACGGGATCTCTTTCCATGTCTAAGCTTACGTAGCACAGGTGCGCACAGGGCCGCGTAGGGCCCCACGTTTCGGCTAGAAACTTGCTTATTTTCAGTCCAGGCTCAGAGCAGGGCAGAAAAAAGGGCCACCTCATTCCTGGGAACTGAGTCATGGGATCCGCAGCAGGCCGGGCCACCCCCGCCCCTCCGAGCCGTGACTGGACGTTGACCTGTGGACAGGCCCGCGGTTTCTGCTTCTGCGCTGCCGTCCACGTTTCCCGTTCTCCCTCGAACACTTCTGCAGAGGCCTTGGGGGCAGGACTCTCCTCGGGCTGGGGTCATTTGGGGGAGCCAATGAGCCCCCTCCCTCTGCCCTGGAGCCAGGCCTGCCAGAGGGCAGGGCAGGCACAGGATCCAGGATCCCCAGGGCCGGGTTGCTCCAATCCCCATCTTGCACAATAGTCTTCATGTGGCTCCTTCCCTCCAGCCTGGCCACCAGAGGCCAAGTTCTCAGGGTCGCCTCTTGGCAGGGAGCCCGCCCATTGTCTCAGCTGGGCCACCTCCCTTCTCAGGGAGCCCCCCTGCATTTCCTGCCCCTGGCAGCACTGGCCAGTCCATCTGGCCCTTGGGAAGACGCAGCTGTCTGCTGTTTGCTCCACTTGTGACCTACACCTTTATTATGAAGATGGCCACGGTCAGGGTTATATATTTCAGGCTTGCCAGAAAAACAGCTGCGGGGGGAGGGGGAGTGATGGCCCAAGCGTGGCACCCCATTCCTGACTCTGCCAGTTACGATAAGAGCAGAGGAGGAGAGGAGGAGCCCGCGGGGCGGGGCCGCGGGTCTCCGGTCAGGGAAGCGCCCTCAGGCTCTGCTAAGAGTATGTGCCTGGGGCTTCACAGCCATTCCCACAGTGCCCTCTTTCAAAGATAGGGAAATGGAGTTTTGGGGCCAGTTCCTGTGTGTCCCCAGTGAGGAAGCTGAGGTGCCCACCGGCCAGAGGCCTTTCCAGAGTGTCCACCAGCTCCAAGAAGGGGCTGGACTGGGCCTGTCCTGTAGCCTGGCTTCTGTAGAAAAAAATTTTCTTTAATGGAGACAAAATCCACATAAAATTCACCATTTTAAACGCTTTACAGTGTACATTTTAGTGGTTTTTAATATATTTATGTTGTGCAACCATCACCACTAATTCCAGAATATTCTCATCACCTCAAAAGAAACCCTGTCCCCATCAACAGTTACCCCCCATCCTCCCTGGCCCCTGACAACCCTGAACCCACTCTCTGTCTGTGGATGTGCCTGTTCTGGACATTTCACATCAATAGGATCACACACCGTGTGTCCTTTTGTGTCTGGTTCTCTCACTGAGCATCGTGTGTTCAAGGTCCGTCCACGGTGTGGCTGTGTCAGGGCCTCACTCCTCTTCATGGCTGCGTCATATTCCAGCATGTGGATGGAGCATATTTTGGTATTTTGTTTATTCATTCACCTGTCGATGGCCACTTGGGTTGTTTCCTCCTTTAGGCTTGTAACGCTGTACAAGTTTTTGTGTGGGCATGTTTTCATTTCTCCGGGGAGTGCACCTGGGAGCAGAATTGCTGGGTCACAGGGCAACTCGGTGTTTAACTGTTTGAGGAGCTGCCAGACTGCTTTCCGCCAGTCAGCTGGGCCATTTTACCTTCCCACCCACGAGTGTGTGGAGGGTAGCCTGATTTCTGGGCCTCAGGCTCCACCAGGGCCGCATGGTGAGGGGTGCGACGGAGCAGGATGCCACTCTGTGTCCTGGTGCTGAGGCCACAGGGTCACTGGCAGGACTCAGAATCATTGGCGTTGTGGTTGGGCTCTGCCAGCATCTGGGGGTCCCGAGGCCCAGCTGCTCCCCATGAGCCCTTTCTCCTCTGTCTTCCCTGCTCTGAGGAACAGCAAGACTACCTAACGTCCACACATCCAGCCCACGGCTGCCCGCACCTGGGCCCTCCGCCTGTCACCGTTCAGGCCGCCCCCTCCTTGAAGGCCCAGCCTCGATGGCCCTGTCGAGGCTCCAGCGGGTCTGCCCCCTCCCCCTGCCCAGATCTGCCCATCATTCCAGCAACCTCAATGCCCTTTCTCCGTCTTAAAACCCAGTCCTGATCCTCTCCTCCGTCTTCCGCCCCTCTGCTCCCCTGGGCATCTACATCCACATCTCCAATTCCTTTGCTCCTGTAACCCCCCCGGGCAGGCCCCCTCCTTGGATCTGCCCTCCTCATGGTCACCAACTTGGCACTCCGCTTGGCACAAGCGTCCCCATCCTCAGGCCTGCTCGACTTGGAAGTGGGTGCTCTGCTCGTCCAGGTTCTACAATGCAGTGGGGGAGGGAGACACCCTCTGCCGCCGCTGTTTCCTTCCCTCTGCCCCTCCCGGCCCCTGAACTTCAGTGAGGCTCGGCCATCCGCTCTGCTTGGTGACCTCCTCCAGGCTCTGGGCTCCCATGTCCACCGACCTCACCCTGAATTCCAGACTCATATCTCACCCCCTCCCCACCTTCTCCCATGGGGGTCCCACGAGAGCCCCAAGTTCACCACGTCCAGGACCCCCTCCCACACTGCCCCCTGCACCTGGCCCCTCCAGAGTCTTCCCACCCCGTCAGGGCAGCTCCCTCCTCCCTCCTCCCTCCCTCCCTCATCTCCACGTCCCGCCCATCTGCACATCCTATAGGCACTGCTGTCAGAACACCCAGAACCTGCCCACTGCTCACCCCACCCTAGCGGGAGCCACCCCCATCCCTGGCCAGGACTCGCTCCTCAGCCCCCTCCCTGCTCTCCCTGCCTCTGCCCTGCTGAAACGCTGAGAATGGCTGAAAAGAAAACCCAACTTTTGAACCTGACCAACAAGGCCTCCTGGGACCTGCATGGCCTCACCCTCTGACCCCCTCTCCTACCCCTGCCCCGCATTGGCCTCTTTGCTGCCAACTCACCAGGCAAGGTCCAGCCTCAGGGCCTTTGCACCGGCTGTAACCTCACCTGACACACCTTCCTCCAGACACCCCCAGGGCTCCCTCCCTCTCCTCCTGTGAGCTTTTGCTGGACTCTCTCCTCCTCCCCTCCCCTGACCATCCCTCTGCAGACTGCAAACCTCCCAGCTCCCATAGCCTGCTCTCTCTCTTCTTCCGCAGCATTGTCACCTTCTAACATACTTTGTCACTTATTTATTATGAGACAGGCACAGTCAGGAGTAGGGCACTGTGGGATATCTGAGACCCGGGGCTTGGGGACAGGACAGGGGAAGACCGAGATGGGAGCACTTCATAAGCACCTGGAGCTATGCCAAGCTCCTCCCAAACACAACCATCCCTTCCGATTCTCTGCTAACCCTCTACAATGGGCACTTTATTATTTCCATTGTACAGACGGGAAAACTGAGGCTAGGGGGCGTTAAGTTGCACGTGGGCCAGAGCCAACTGAGAGACGGCCCTACAGTTGGATGCATAAATATTTATAGAGCTCTTCCTAGGCCGCCCGACTGTCCCTAGGAGGCAAGCAGACCCCTGCCCCCCTGCAGGCCTCAGTTTCCCCGCGCACACCTCGTTTCTGCCTGTTGGGATTCTAAACCGCCGCCCCAAGCGGGCGTCGAACGGAAACTACAACTCCCGAGAGGCTTTGCGGTCAAAGCTACGCGAGAACTTCCGAGGTGCTGGTGGGAGGTGCCCTGCGCACGCCTCTCGTGCAGCCAACGGCCGCTCGCGGAAGGCTCGGGCTGCCCTTGGCGCTGCCGGTCCCGAAGGTCGCTGTAGTCAGGCGTCCGCTGGCGACAGCCCTGCACGGGGCGGATGAGGGGGCCCTGACCGGGGCTCGGCGCAGGCGCAGTGGGCGCGGGTCCCGTCAAGCGCACGCGCAGTGAGTGCGAGCGGCGGCGGCCATGGACGACGAGGAGGAGACGTACCGGCTGTGGAAGATCCGCAAGACCATCATGCAGGTGAGCGGCGCGTGCGGCGCCCCGCTTGGCGGACGCGGGGAGGGCGGGCCTCGCTGGTCCGGGCGAGCCGGGCGCGCGGCGGTCCGGGGGGCGGGCGGCGAGCGCACGGCCCGGAGCGGGGACGAGCCTCCCCCACGCCCGCCCGAGCGGCTGGAGCCGAGGGGTCGGCAGGCGGGGCCCCCGGGGCTGCAGCGGGCGGGGTCTGTGGGGACGGGGGTGCTCCGGGGGCAGGGGCCTGCGGGGACCGGGGGACCCCACAGGGGCCAGCAGCCGAGTCGAGAGTCCGAGCGGCCCCGGGGGCGGGGTCTGCGGGGACGGGACGACCCCACAGGGGCCAGCGGCCGAGTCGAGAGTCCGAGCGGCCCCGGGGGCGCGGTCTGCGGAGACGTTTGCTGTCTCTCCGGGCCGAGATCTCCCTCGAGTTGGAGAGAGGGAACGGCAGACACTGGGTGTCTCGCTTGTTGATGTTTTTGGAAGGCGGAGCACCACCCCGCGTGCCTAGCTCAGAATGCCAGAATCGTGGGCTGGGAGGATACCCTGGTCAGCTGGCCTGAGGTGCCGTCCTGCGAGGATGTCCGTCTCTGATCTCTCGGTTTGGTGGCTGCTTTTGCGCCTCGGCCACCAACTTGGACTTCCTGGGGCTGGTCGGAGTGGAGTGACACTAGCAAGCTGGTTGAGCAGTCACTGTTTGTCACTCGCTTTAAGCCGTCCTGTGGGAGGGGACCAGTGTGACCCCCAGGGGCCCGGTGGGGCATGGCCTTGACCAAGACCGCCCAGCTTCTCTACTGCTTTGCAAAGTGACCCCAGAGACAGGGGCTGAAACAACTGTGCTTCAGGCTGACAGCGTTGGGGACCCTGAGAGAGCAGACATGAGGGCTCAGGAGGCAGAATCGGGCTGTGGGGACTTCACGGAGGAGGCGGGGTGGGAAGCTCTGACTTTCCTGTTCTCCATCTTTGTCCTCTTCTAGTTGACCCCAGTCAAAGACCCCGCACGCTCAGGCCTTCACCCAGTTTCTGAGCTGGAGTTGCCTGGCCAGCCCAGCAACGCCCGTCTCACCCAGCTGTCTCCATCTGCCCCAGACCCCAGGGCCCGGCTCTGCCGCTGCTTCCCAGTCAGGGCCTCTCCCCGAGGCTGGGGATAAGACGATGACGCACACGGTTACCTGGAGCAACTCGGGGCTCTCAAGTGCCCCGTGGTCTTTGTCTCCACTCGTCCCTTCTCCCTTCTCTGGCCTCTACGCACACCCACTGCACCCGGCCCCACACTGCCCACGGCGCCCTCTGCAGCGGCCTCGTCCGGCCCCACCTCTTTCTGTCATGCCTCCTCCGCCCTGGGGTCACTTGGCTCTTTCTGTCTGCAGCTGTGCCACGACCGTGGCTACCTGGTGACCCAGGACGAGCTGGACCAGACGCTGGAGGAGTTCAAGGCCCAGTTCGGGGACAAGCCGAGTGAAGGGCGGCCGCGGCGCACGGACCTCACCGTGCTGGTGGCCCACAATGACGACCCCACCGACCAGATGTTTGTCTTCTTCCCAGGTGAGGGCTTTGCCGGTCTCTGGCAGCCGTGTGTCCGCGAGGGGTCATGGTTCTGGTGGAGCCATCTGAGGGCCTGCTGTGTGGCCCAGAGTCCACACTGGGCCTTGTCTTTCTGGGAAGAAAATCCCCCTCGCCCTCCTTATTGGGGGGGCGGTGCTTTTGATCTCTGAGCCCTCTCAGTGCCTTGTCTAGCTTCCGTCTCCTTGGTCCCCTTCCTTGTTCTCTTCTCCTCGGCTGTTTTCTCTGCCCAGGATTATCACAGGCCTCTAGCTGGGCCCCCGGCCCCTCCTGACCTCAGATCCACCTGTGTCCTCTGCCCCCACCCCGTCAGCCCCGCCTGCTGCTCCCTGAGGCTCCTTCCTGCCCTCGTCCCTGCCGATCCCCCTCACCACACCGTTCCTCTTCGCCCTGCCTGGTCGGTGTCCATCATCGTCCCTAGAGACCCAGCTCAGAGACCCAGCTCAGGTGCCGCCTCCTCCAGGACCCTCTCTGAGCCCGGGCTGAGTGAAGAGCCCCCCAAGGGGTGTCCCAGGACCCCCGTGTTCCTGTCTCAGCGCCTGCTGCACTCAGGCAGCCTGGCTCTGAAGCCTGCCAGAGTTGGGCCACGCTGGGGCGTGAGCACCTTGGGGGCGCTGGAGTCAAGGGAGTGGGCAGAAAATGTTTGCAGAACAGACCCAGGTGGCGCTAAGAACAGTGTTCCCCGTGTGGAGACGTGTTTACTGGGGACAGTGAGGCCTGATCACCTGCCGCCCCAGACCCTGCCTGGGGGCCGGGCTGCCCTGGAGTTGGGGGCCTCTCTCTACTTCCTGGTCTTTGGTGACGTTGGGGGCGTCCTGCTTCTCTCGGACGTGCCTCGGGGCAGAGTTGAAGCTCCCGCCTGTGTTGCTTAGCTGGGGCCGCCCCAGCGAAACACCGCGGGCTGGGACTTAGCAGACGTGTGTTCTCTCCCAGCGCTGGAGGCCGGAGGTCCACGTGTGGTCAGGGCCGGTTCCCCCGAGGCCTCTCTCCTTGACCTGTAGAGCGCCTTTTCCTTGTGTCCCCATGTGTTCCTCCCTGTGTGTGTGTGTGTGTGTCCTCATCTTCTCCTCTTAAAAGACCCAGTCAGAGGGGATGAGCGCCCACCCTGATGGTCTCTTTGAAGGCTGTATCTCCAAATATAGTTGTAAGCTGAGGTCCTGGGGGGTCAGGACTGCAACATGGGCGTTTGGCTGACACAACTTGCCCCAAAACATTGCCCGTTGGTGGAGTGAGATGTAGCATGAGGATAAAGGCCCAGCTGGGAATCCCCCACAAATCCTGGTGGCCGGCGCCCGGTGGCTGACCTAGGCTCGCAGGGTCCAGCAGTTCTCCAGTGACAGGGCCCCGGGCCCTGTGTGCGGCAAAGAGGGTGAGGACCCTCACCCCCGGCAGCATGGGGATGGGGGCTGTGTCTGTGTCGGGACCGTGCTCTCGGGGTCTCCTGGCCTCATCTGCTCTCTGAACACCCAGCCATACATCTCACGGGCTCCCGGACTAACAAAGCCGCTTAATCTGGGGGTTCCCAAACCCCGGAGCCACTGAGGCACCAGACCAAACCCAGACCCCAGACCCCACTTCCAGAGAGGGATCCCTCGGGGCCCAGGGTGCAGGGCGCCTTTCAGCTCCCAGGTGACGTGGAGGCCGCCAGTGCCCTGTTCTGGGAGCCAGCACCTCAGTTCTTTTGCAAGTGGGGAAACCGAGACCCCCGACGGGGAAGGGCTTCACACAGCCCTGGCACGTGCCCGGAGCCCCAGGGCTCGGGGGCCCCTGACAGTGAGACCCTCGTGTGCTCTGTCCCCAGAGGAGCCCAAGGTGGGCATCAAGACCATCAAAGTGTACTGCCAGCGGATGCAGGAGGAGAACATCACGCGTGCCCTCATCGTGGTGCAGCAGGGCATGACGCCCTCCGCCAAGCAGGTGCCCACAGCCCGGCCCCGGCCCCACCGCTCCCCTCCTGCCCCCAGCCCAGGCGGTCGCTTCCCCTTCCCTTCCCTTCCCTTCCCTTCCCTTCCCTTCCCCGGGCGACGCCCTGGGGGCCCCCGGCCCCACCGCTCCCCTCCTGCCCCCAGCCCAGGCGTTCGCTTCCCCTCCCCTCCCCTCCCCTCCCCTCCCCTCCCCGACGCCCTGGGGCCCCGGCGGTTTTCACCCAGGGGCCATCCTCGCCTCGGGCCCCTGGAGGAGAGCGCGAAGGGGGGCGCTGTGCCTGCCGGCTCCCCAGGTGTCAGCCCCACGTCCCGATGTGGCTCCGGGAGCTCAGGATCTGAGGAGGAGCTGCTGTCCCCAGTGGGCGGGATGGGGTGTCCCCCCGAGTGGGCCCAGCGTCGCCCGTCTGGGTGTGGGACAGGCCTGAGCGGAGGCGGGTGGTTGGGCTGGAGGACCAGCGAGCACCTCCCTCGCTGGGGGCTGCAGGGCCTCGAGGTCCCTCGCCTCTCCTGGGAGGGGCCGCCACGCCTGCCCCAGGACGGGGCCGGGAGCACCTTGACAGGTGGGAGTGAGCTGAGGGCCGGGCGGCCGGCTGTTCCACGGGGAGGCCCACCCGGTGGCTTTTCCTGATTTGTGACGCCCGGCGTCTTGCTGAGGTGCAAGAGGACCCCAGTCAGCTTCCTGCCCGCCGTCGGCCTCTGGGGAGGAAACGGGTGGGGCTGTCTCGGGGGACGCGGCCAGGGTGGGGGAGTGGCTGCCCCGGCGAGCTGAGGGTGGGGTCTCTTCCAGTCCCTGGTCGACATGGCCCCCAAGTACATCCTGGAGCAGTTCCTGCAGCAGGAGCTGCTCATCAACATCACGGAGCACGAGGTGGGCCTGCGGCTGGGTGGGCGGGGAGGCCATCTGCTTTCCCAGCAGCCCCGGGGGCTCCCGAGCTCGCCCGGTGGCCCGTCGGCAGGACAGTCCTGGGGGCGGGTGGGGGCGCCATCCATGGGTGCCAGCGGGGCGGGGTGGGCCTTGGGCCAGGACTCCTGCAAACCCCTTGAGCGCCGGGGGTTGATGGTTCACGCCCAGGAAACGACCCAGGGCCCACCCCGCACCCCTTCTCCGCGTGGGGCGCACGGGGTCTGTCGCAGCCCCACGGAGACCCTGTCCCTCTCTTGGCAGCTGGTCCCAGAGCACGTGGTCATGACCAAGGAGGAGGTGACCGAGCTGCTGGCCCGGTAGTATCCTTTCTGGCCCCTCGGGCCGTCGCCTCCTGTTTCTCCTCCCCACTTCTCGTGTCTCCCCCGGCCCCGCCACGTCAGTCCAGCTGGGCTTTTCCCTGACCCGCTTCCAGTAAGCTCCGAGAGAACCAGCTGCCCAGGATCCAGGCGGGAGACCCCGTGGCGCGCTACTTCGGGATAAAGCGCGGGCAGGTGAGAGGCCCCCCTGCAGCCCCTCTCCGCCGGCCGGCCCTGGGACGCCCCCCCCCAGCCTCCCTTGGAGCCAGGGCCGCCCTGTCCCCATGTGGCTCCATCCCTGGAGAGGCCGCCCCAGCTCTGCTCTCCGTCTCGCAGGTGGTGAAGATCATCCGGCCCAGCGAGACCGCCGGCCGCTACATCACCTACCGGCTGGTGCAGTAGCCACCCGCCCCTGCCCGCCGGGTGAGACGGACACGGGGCCCGGCGGGGGCCCTGGGCAGCTTGGGCCTGGGGGGCAGTGTCCACCTCCCCCAGCCGTGTGCAGGAAGGTTCCGGCTCCTTCCCTGAGCGAGCCCCACTCAGTGTCCACCCCGCTGAGGTTCTGACCAGAGGACCGAGCACAGCCCTCCTTTCCAGACCCAGCCGCCTCTGCGCCCCGCACCCTCCCCTCGCTGGTTTCCCCACAGCCCTCGGGCCACGTCCCCGTCCTCCTGTGGGGCTTGGAGGAACCCTGCGTCCAGCCTGGGCATGCCAGCTCACGGGACGGACCTGACCGCTGTCTGCTCTGGTCCAGCCCCTGGGAGATGGACACGCACTGTGACCACCCTGCCCGGCCGTGGGCGAGGGGCCGCCTGCCTGTGGGACCTGCTCCTCCTGGGACCTTGCCGCTGCTCCTCCAGACCCCAAGGCGGACTGGCCGCGGGCTCAGGGTCTTCATGGCCTCGTCTGGACGCTGAGCCCCCACCTTGGATCCTGTGTGATGTGACGAGCCTCAGGAGAGGATGGTGACAGACAACAGTCCCGGGTTCTTGTTGACTCTCCCTGGGGGCCCCGAGTCCGAGCCTGGTCAGCCCCTCTTCCTCCTGGCCTCCCGTCACCGTGTCCCCCGCATGGCGGCCCTGTCGCCGTCTGTCTGTGAGCTCGGAGGGCAGCAGTGGGCGAGATTAAAAGTTGTCTGGATTTTGAGTTACTGTTGAATGCTGGGTGTTTTTAAAAATTAAAGATATTTGGAGTAAACACATTTGCTTGTCTGAAAAACCAAAAACAGCAGGTTGGCGGTGAGCGGCCTTCCTCCAGGCCCGCTCCCACCTTTGTGTCGCCGTGCTTTTCTTGCAGAGAAGTTTGGGGTCAAACTACCCACTTTCCCCCATTTGGTGTCTGATTTCAGACAGCCTTCCCCACCCGGGTGAAACCAGACGTTTGTGTGTCTTCTAACACCTTCATTGAGAGTTCACATACTGTCCAGTTCATGTGTTCACGGTGCGCAGTGCAGCGGGTTTAGTCCATTCGTGGTCGTGCGTCTGGCACCACCGTCAGTTTTGAACATTCCATCACCCCCAAAACAAGCCCCGTCCCCGTGAGCAGTCACCCCCACCCCCTCCCCAGCCTCTGACAACCACGAACCCACTCTGTGGATGTGCCTGTCCTGGACATTTCACATCAGTGGAATCACATACCGTGTGTCCTTCTGTGTCTGGTTCTCTCACTGAGCGTCATGTGTTCAAGGTCCATCCACGGTGTGGCTGTGTCAGGGCCTCACTCCTTTTCATGGCTGCGTCATGTTCCAGTGTGTGGGGGGACACTCTCTGTGCACCTGCCTGTGTGGGGGGGGACACCTGTGGATCCATCATCCACTGCTGGGCACCTGGGCTGCTTCCCCCTGGCTGTTAAGAGGCGTGCTGCCGTGCACGCCCGCGGACGAGTCCGTGTGGACGTGTGTTTTCATTTTCTCTGATGTGAGCCTGGGAGAGGAATTGCTTGGTCGTGTGGAAACTGCTTACCCTTTGGAGAAACTGCCAGGTTGCCTCCCACAGTGGCTGCCCCGTGTCACCGCCCACCAGCCTGCACAGGTCCCCATTCCTCACATCTCCCCAGTGCCGGTGACTGTCCGTCTGGCAGGCGCGGGAGGCGGCGGCTCGCTGGTTCTGACTCACTGCCCCGATGACGGTGACGGAGCGTCCTCCCCCTGCCTCCCGGCCGTTTGCGTGTCATATTTGGAGAAGTGTCTGCAGACTCTCTGCCCTTTGTTTAGCGGGGTTATTTCTCTTTTTCTTATTGACTTGTGGGAGTTCCTTCTACATTCTTGATACAAATCCCTCATCAGATAAACAATGTGCAAAAATTTCTTCCCCTTTTTGTATTTCTTAAGTGTCTACTTATAGGTTTGCTGTCTACACAGGCCGTTAAGTCCTGCGATTTACTTCCAGGCATCAGATGATGTAGCTTTTTTGCCCCAGACAGACAGTGGTCTCCACACGGTTCATTGAACATCTGGCAGGCCCTTTTGTTTTGTTTGTTTGTTTGTTTTGTGTGTGTGTGTGAGGAAGATCAGCCCTGAGCTAACATCCGTGCTAATCCTCCTCTTTTTGCTGAGGAAGACCGGCTCTGAGCTAACATCTATTGCCAATCCTCCTCCTTTTCTCCCCACAGCCCCAGTAGATGGTTGTATGTCATAGCTGCACATCCTTCTAGTTGCTGCATGTGGGACGCGGCCTCAGCATGGCCGGAGAAGCGGTGCGTCGGTGCGCGCCCGGGATCCGAACCTGGGCCGCCAGTAGCGGAGCGCGCGCACTTAACCGCTAAGCCCCGGGGCCGGCCCTGGGTCTTCTTTTTCATTGGTCAATTTAGGTTCTTAAAATTATAGTTTTTGGTAGATCTAATGGTAGAACAAGTGTCCTCTTTCCCCCCAAAGATACATACATTGTTTTCCAAAATCGTCTTGGCCAAAACGAGCCCAACGTGGAAGGACAGATACTGTGTGGTCCCCTCACAGGAGGCCCCTAGAGGAGTCACAGCCACAGAGACAGAAAGTAGACGGTGGGGCCAGGGGCTGGGGGAGGGGATGGGAGTCAGTGTTTCCTGGGGACAGAATCTCAGTTTGGGAGGATAAGAAAGTTCTGGAGAAGGATGGTGGGGATGGGTGCACAACAGTGTGAATGTGCTTCACGTCGCTGAGCTGTGCACTTAAAATGGTTAAGACGGTGAATTTTATGTACATTTTACCACAATAAAAAAAAATCTCCTTGGCTGTTCTTGACTATTAGGTTTTGCGTGTGAATTCTAGGATCAGTTCATCACGTCTGTAAGATTCCTGTTGTTCTCGGTTGGGTCTGCCCTGTCTCTGGAGCTGGTACAGCCTTCGCCAGCCCGTAGGAACACCTTGGACGCCCTCGGGTCGGGTTTCCTGTCAGCTCCGTGGAGGGAGTTAGCTGTTACCACCCAGCCGTGCCCCTCCTTCCAGCAGCACCTGGCTTTCCTTTGGGAAGTCACCCCTTTGTTACTTGGGGACCAGATCCTGCCTTTGCCACCGAGCCCAGTCAGTTCCAAGTCCCCGAGATGGGCCACTGTCCTGTGTCACCTGCCTCGGGGCTTCTGCAAGAAGTGGCCCCTCCTGGGGGAAGGGTGGGGTGAGGAGGGGGGCCTGGGCATGCATGCAGCCCCCGGCCACTGTGACAGGCTGTGAGCCTGGATCAAGCTGCTCCTGAAGCTGGCCTCACCTGTGAAGCCAGGTGATTTGGTAAATTACCAGGCATGTCTCTAACAGCACCCAGAGCCCTGTGTTTCCAGGCCCCGCCAGGCCCACGAGATACTTTGCACCTGAGAATGGGATGCTTTTCACGCCGTGTGCTATTTGACTAACGCTGGTGAGTGGAAATCTGCCGTCCAGCTGAACACTCTGACTTGTTAAATAGTTTGGTCTGTTAATTCTTCTGACCTTTTGAAAAATGTAGATCAGGGGTCGGCAAATTTTTTCTGTAAGGGGCTGGATAGTAAATATATTTCGCTTTGTGGGCAGACGTCCCCATTGCAACGACTCGACTCTGCCGCCACGGGGGGCAGAAGTGGCCGCAGCCGTGCGCCATTAGCTTGTGCGCAAAAACCCCGCCCTGGGCGGTCATCTGCCAGCCTCCTTTTCCAGCTTTCTTAGGAATCTGCTGCGGGGCGGGCAGCCGTGACTGTGCTCAGCCCCGAATGGCTGCAGGTGACGGGGACGGGGGACTGCAGTCTCAGGGCTGTGCTGTGTCAGAGGGGACCACATTGCCCCGCTGTTTCAGTCGTGACGCTGATTCCATCTAATGCTTCCCGTCAGATGGAAACGTGGGTCTCCTCTGCTGGGTGTCCTCGGCCCTCCCGGATAAGCCCCCCCGGGGGTCTCTGAGCTGGGCCAGGGGTCATGACAGGAACTGGGGGGGAGTCCTCGCTGACGATCCGCTGTGCCCTCCCGGGGCTCGTCCATCTCAACAAAGCTGCATGAAGTTTCCACTTCAGTCCGCAGCACACTGGCTGCGTTTCCAGTGCTCAGTGGCCACGTGGGGCTGCCACCTGCCACCACGGAGAATTTCCATCTTCTGGAAAGTTCTACCAGTCAGCACTCAGCTGGAAGTTTATGAGGCAGTCATCTGACCTCCGAGTGTCTGCACCGCCCGCCCGCACCTCCAGCCTCCGAGGCCGCCTGGGCTCGCACACCTAACAGGCTGTCTCCCGGGGGCATCTCTCCTCCTCAAGCCCTCCCCAGCGAGGAACTGGGCGCGACCTGAGGGCCCTCCGTGACCCCGCCCCAGGCCGCCGCTGCCAGAGAAGACGGGCTCTGAGTACAGGCTTTATTTTAAGCAAAATAAATGTGCATGTCAAAAAACTGCATCGTGACCCATGGGGACCTCATCGTGTACCTGAACCCAGGTGTCCACACCTAGTATTCCGGAAAATCAAGGGCATCCTGAAGCCACCGCCCAGCCCCACTGTCAGTGGCCAGAGTGGCCTTCCCTGGCCTAGCGACTCGAGGGCAGGGCAGGGCCTGCGGTCCAGGGGGTGGCCGGCCCCGAGGGGAGAGCAGGGGTCGCCCAGGGGGCTTCTCTGTCCACACAGCCCCACGGCGCCTCCCAAGAGCAAACTCCCCCAGCTCGGCTGAGCCGGCCTGCAGGGCATGCAGAGGAGCGCAGGGCGGGCCACAGTCTCGTGCCACACTCCTGGAAGCTTCTGGAAAAGGCAGCTAGCCATGCCCTCGTCGCTGCGGGCCAGAAGGAGGAGATCTCATGGCGACCAGATCTGGTAGTCCAGGCCGGCGTGGCCGGGCTGAGGGACGTCCACAGGGACAGGAACCAGGAAGGGGACGGGCCTGTCCTCCGCCCCGTCTAGACAAACTCCGGCTGCCTCTCCCAGCCGCTGCCCGCCGAGACCTGCCCGCCGCAGAGCTGCATAGCGTGCAGCCGGGCCTGGGCCACATTGTTGCTCTGGTTGGTGTTGGACTCGGAGAGCTGCCCAGCCAGGCCCTCCCCTTGCCCCTCCCAGAGCCCGTCCCTGTCCCCGTCCTCGTCCCCTGCCTCGGCCCCCAGCTGCTCCTCGCTGCCGCTGCGGCTGCGGCCGCCCCGGCCCTCGTCCACGCTCTCCAGGAGGCTGAGGTGGGGCAGGGCGCCCCCGCCCGCCAGGGACAGCGGGTCCAAGGTCTCCTCCAGCTCCGAGTCAGAGTCATTGGAGGCGGCGCGGGATTCTGGGAAGTCCGAGAGAGGAGAGACAGGGAGAGAGAGGGATGTCCCCGTCACCGAGGGGCACCCGGGGTCCGCTGCCTGTGACGGTGCGAGGCAGGTCCCCCTCCGCAGGCCCGGGTCTCCGCTCGGAAACCTCCCCCACAGGTGGACATGCACAGAGAGGGTCGTTTCCATTTCAAGGTGCCCGTTTCTCAGCGCCGGCTACACCCCTCCAACGGGCACCTCCTCCCTCGTGTTTGCAACGGACGGAAGCGATGAACGGACACTTGGCAAACGCGGTCTCCGTGGGAGACAAACCCACAGGGCGCGCAGCCTCCGGGCACGTGACGTGGACCCGCGACGCCACGTCGTCCACCCACCTGCCCGTCTTCCCGGGTCGGGCACCCGTGGCCGTTGGCGAAGTGCCCCCCAACCCCGGGGACCACACCACTCACCTGGGCCCCCTTCTTCGGCCTCCTCCTGCCGGGGGAAGGTGGCCTCCTCACTCACCTCCAGGTAGGGCACCTGGAGCGCCACCTCGGCCCGCTGGTTGGCCGGCCCGTCCTGCGGGGTGGATGGAGCTCAGGGAGGGACCCAGATTCCGGCCCAGCCCCAGCTCTGTTCTCTTTCTTGTAAAGTAACCAAATAAAAACCCCCAAAATTGTTAACACCCCCTGCTGCTGAGAACGTGACGACGCCCGGTCCCCATGTCATAAGCGGGCCAAGCTCGTCCCACAGGACAGAAGGCCTCGGCCAGAAAGGCCAGGCCCCTGCAGGGGCACGAGCATAGGAGCCACTGTCCTGGGGCCACACCCAGGCTTCCCGTCTCCGCCTCCTGCCTCCCCAAACCTGGAATCTGCCTCGCCCCAGCACTGAAGGACACCAGCAGAGGAATTAAAGAAACAGAATGGCGACCTGAATACACGGGCAGGAGTCTGCTCGGAAACAAAGAAACAGAACTTGCAGACGTGAAAACCGTGGGCACGTAATTAGAACTCAGCAGGCAGAAGAAGGGGCAGGCTGGAGCCAGCTGAGTGACACGTGTGCCAGAGTGCAAGGATGTATTGTAGGCACCGTAGAGATGGGACACGGGAGAGGGCCAGGTGGAGGGCAGAAGGGGAGGGGGTGGAGCGACGGCCACAGGGCCTTTGCACTGTCTGCGGTCTGCCCCAGATCTGAGCCCACACTCCATCAGTTCTTTGCTTACAAGATATCTCAAAGGCTGCCTCTGACTGCCCTCTGAGAACCAGACGTCTCCCAGCTGTTTCTCCCGTCTGCACCCTCACAGAGCCCAGCACCCTTCGCCCAGGGTGGACAGCCCTGGGGCCCACCCACCCCTCACCTGGCTCTCCAGCACCTCCTCGGGCTCCTCCTCAAAGACCAGGCCGTAGTGGGTGATGAGGGTCTCGACGATGCGGGCCTGGTGAGGGTAGTCCACCAGGGAGGAGAGGGACACGGTGGCCTCGGTGGGCCGCGGCCGCAGCAGCGTGGGCCCGAACACGATGCCCAGGTTCCCCGGCGTCATCTTGTTGTCCTGCTCCACCTCCACGAGCCTGGGGGGTCGGAGGACGCAGGAGCGGTGTGAGCGGCTCCCCGGGCCGCCCCACGCTTGACCCCGGCCAGGCCGGCGCTCACCTGCGCAGGTGCCGCAGCAGGTACTGCAGCGTCGCCCGGTTCTCGGGCGGCAGGTCCCGCAGGAGCTCCCGCAGCCGGCCCGCCATGGCCACGGCCGCAGCCTCGCTCTCGGCCGGGTCCGGCCGGCCCCGGGACGCCGCCTTAGCCTCAGCTTCCGCCTTCAGATTGTCCTTGGCCAGCCCCACGAGCTCGTGGTAGAAGCGGAAGGAGATGAGCGGCTCGGGCAGCTGCAGGGCATCAGGGCAGGTCGGGGGTCAGAAGACCTGGCCCAGCCGCTGAGTGTCCTGCCCTGGCCACGCCCCTGGCCTAGGAGCCCCGCCCACCGCGTGCCGACCACGCCCAGTCTAGCAGCCCCGCCCACCTTCCTGACCACGCCCCTGGCCCGGAGCCCCGCCCACCCAGCTGGCCCCCGCCCCATCCATCTCACCTGGCGCAGGTAGAGTTTGAGGACGTTGCTGATGTCGTGAGGCGGGGCCTGCGACAGCTCCACCAGCTCCTTGCCGGTCTCGAAGGCCTGGCACAGCTTCTCCACGCGCGTCTTCACCCCGTTGACCCGGTAGATGCCCTGCGGCGGCTGCAGTCAGCCTCGGCCCAGCCCACCTCCCTCCCGGGGCCCCCAGGGCGGAACCCGCGCTGTCCCGGGGTGGTCACCTTGGTGCGCAGCGCCCGACGCTCGATCTCGCAGACGCACTTCTTGACGATGAAGGGGACACCGTCCGGGGTGCTGCAGGCTGCCTGGCTGAAGTCTTGGCCGAAGAGCTGCAGGCGGCCCTGCAGCTTCTTGTGGCCGCACTGGATGGCCAGGGTCTCCAGACACTTCTTGTGGCAGGCCAGGCAGCACTGGGGGGAGGGGGGGGCAAGCGAGTGAGCAGACCCCTCCCGGCCCCCGCGCACAGCGCCCACGCCCCCGCCTCCACCTCCCGCCTCCTCCTTGATGCCCTCACAACCGACCCCTACAGGAGCAATCCGGATTGTCACCCTGGGCTCGCTTTCCCCGCCCCCACCTACCCCTCCAGGCCCCCTCCTTGGTTTTTTTCCAACAGCTGGTCGGGTCCCGCGCCCAGGCCTTTGCACTGGCTGTGCCCTCCGCCAGGGACCCTCTCCCCCAGGACCATCCGGGGCTCCAAATGCTCTCGTTTGCGCCTAGCTTAACGACCCTCGCGCACTCTGCGTGTGCCCCTCCTGGCTCCCGCTGCGCCCTGCCGTCCCCGGGCCCCCACGCACCTCCTCGCACTCGGCGCCCTGGAAGTACACGTAGCTGTTGCACTCGCGGCACTTAGCGGGCGTGCGCAGCTTCCGCAGCCGGTGGGTCCGGGCCGCCTTGGACAGCCCCACGTGGCGGAAGGGCCCGCTAGGAATGGCCACCGGCGGCAGCTCGGAAGCCATGCCGTTGAGGTCAGCTGGGGACGGGCAGGCAGTCAGTCCCATAGGCCCAGTCCAGACCCCCTCGCCCCTCTGCCCGGGTCGGGGCCGCCTCACCTTGCTCGAAGGCAGACGCCCCCGCACTGCCCTCCTGGTCCGCCAGCTCCTCACTGGACGACATGGTCCCGCTGGACGACGTCCGCTCGAACTTCTTAAAGTCCCCTGGGCAGGACACAGGGAGGTCAGAGACTCCGAGACAGGAGAGACTGGGCCATCGGATGCTCCCCTGAGGACCCTCGGCTGGCACACTCTCCACCCCCCGGCCGCACGGTGAGCCCACCGAGGCCTCTGCCCCCAGCCGCCGGGCAGTCCCCTCCACCTGGGCTAGGGCTGGGGTCCAGGCCGCTGTCGGAGTCGGAGATGGAAATGGGCCACGATTTGTGCACCTGGTGTCCGCGCCCGCCTGCAGAGACATCTCCAGTGAAGGTCTGAGGGGGGCTGAGAGGGGCGTCACGGGGGCCGTGCCCGCCCCCACGTCCCCGCTGGGCACTCACCCCTGCGCTCCTTGGCCAGCGCGCGGTCGTCGCTGGGCCCACCTTCCTCGGGGGGGCTGCCCACGGCCTCTGCCCCCGCCGTGTCGCTAACGTTGAAGCTGCCCTTCCGGGCGCGCATGACCGGTGACCTGGTGGGACGAACAGCCAGCGGGAGAGGCCGTGATGGGGGTCACAGAGGCACGGCCACGCCCGCCCCCACCCGGGGCGGGAAGCCCGGGGCCCCGCGCACGCGCAGACGCTGTACCAGGCGTTGGTGGGGACGTGGGGCTCGAAGTCGTAGTGCACGTCGGGCTCCTCGCCGCGCTGCAGCTGGCGCACGTGCGAGGCGTACTGCTGGCCCGGGTCGTAGAGCTTGCTGCTCTCGCAGAGCATCTGGAAGTGCACGGGCAGCGGCGCCGTCTGCATGTGCATCGTCTGGTAGTAGGAGATGGTGGCCTGCGCACGCGTGGGAGCGTCAGGAGGCGGCCCGGCGGGGGTCCCGCCCACCGCGCGTGGGAGCCCCGGCACGCACCGACTTGATGGTCTGGTCGCTCTGCCGGATGACCTCCTGGATCTGCCGCAGCGCCGTCACCTTGGCGTCCTCCAGCCCCTGCTTCTGCGTCTTCGCGTCCGCCACGCACGTGCGGTACGTGGCCATGGCCTCCTCCGCCTGGGGTGGGGGCCGGGGGCGCACAGAGAGGCCTCAGCTCGCGGGTCAGCCCTCGGGGCAGCGTCAGGCCCGACACAGAAACGCAGGCGGCAGGAAAGGATGGGCAGGCGTCCCGGTGGGACGCGCAGCCTGGGCAAAGGCCCGGAGCGGGGACTGCGCATCGTGTGCCAGGAACTGCGGCCCCTGGGGAGGGCTCGTCCCCTCCGCTGCCCCCTTCCCCCGCCCCACTGCCCGCCCTCACCTTGTTCTTGGCCTCCTCCTCCAGGCGCCGCCGCTTGTCCAGGGTCTTGGAGGCGGCACCCCCCGCCCCGGGCCCAGCGCTGGCCTGCTCCTCCTCGGCCTTGGCCACCAGGAAGCGGGCCTTGTCGTGGTCCTCGCAGCGCTGCGTGTAGCCCTGCTTAGCCTTGCGCAGGTTGTATTCCGCCTCTTGCTGCGGGCGTGGAGCGGGGAGACCAGTTCTGAGCCTGTCCCCCAACCGGCCTGTCTCCCGGCGCCCCTCTCCCTTCCCAGACTAAGGCACCTCCGCCACTCACCTCTCTTGCACCGAGATCCCAGGGCCCAGTCGGGCAAGCAGAGGCCCCCGCCCAAGAACCGATGGCAGAAGAAAAGGAGGAAACGCCTACAGCGGGACCCCAGGAGGAACGGGCCCATTTTACAGCTCAGGAAGCTGAGACACAGCTAAGCCCTGGACGAGGCAGGAGCTGCATCATCCCCTGACACCGACACCCCCCCCAACCACCAGCGGGGCGGCTGCCCGTGCTTCTGTCTTTCACTTCCCGTGTTACAGACAAGGACAGCCTGAGGCCACCCAGGCAGGAAGCCAAGCACCCTCGGGGGTGGCAGGAAGAGCTCTCTGTCAAACCCAGGGGGCCTTCCGGGGGCCACACCTCACAGCCCGCAGCACAGACGCTCGACTGTATACACAAGAACTTGTACAGGTACGGGGTGAAACCATGGAGATTTTTTTTTTAAATAACCACAGTGTGGGGAAGGCCTTTCAATGTGTGACACGAAAACCAGAAACCATAAAACGAAAGACTATCATCAACAACCAGGGGTTTCTACCTGGAAAAACAGGCCACGGGTAAAGTCAAAATTCAAAACAATAAGCTGGGGTTGGGGAAGGTCTGTAATGCACATCATTGAGGGCTGGGTTCTCTCATATGTAAAGAGCTCTGGCAAATGAATAAATAGGCCACTGTCCAATCCGAAGTGAGCAAAGGATAGAAACCAAGAGTTCAGAGAAGAGGAACAGCATGGCTGAGGCTTGTCCACCCACACCCCTTGACCCAGCCATTCCATTTTAGGCACTGATGCAAGATATAAACAATTGGTCACACATCTGAGAGGTGAGAGACGGGGGCACGAGCTTGTCACAGCAGTGCTGTTTGAACCAACAACAGTCTAGCAATGACTAAAATGTCCATCAATAGGGATTTAGTGGAATAAGCCACGTGGCCTCCACAGCTGAGCACTTGTAGCCGAAAAAAGGGACGAGGATGCTTCACATGGACTGAGAGGAGCCAGCCTCTGGATGTGGAGGCCTGGAGCAGAACAGGGTGCTCGGCCAGCTGTCACCAAGCGCACAAAACAGGGAGCTGCGTATATGCCAGGCTGTGTTGGAAGGGTCCCCAGGACACCACTAGCCAGAGCTGGGGGTGGGTGGCCTACTTTTCTACAGACCCCATTAACATAGCTAAAATGAAACCCCAAAGATACTGGTGCCATGGGAACAACCCACAAGAGACGTGAGAAAAGAAGAGGCAGGAACCTGGAGCCTCCCCCAGACTGGAGAGCCTCACCCCTCCACCCAGATCTGCCCGGGCACCCCCGGGGAGACGCAGTTTCTCCCCAAGTGTGAACCACGACAGTGAGTGGGGGGCCTGCGGCCTCTGCTGTGCAGCTGGGGGCCACCGCGCTGGAGCCTCTTTGAGGCGGGACCCGCTCCCGCCTGCGACGCCACGGCCATCGCCACTCGCGCACAGGACAGGACCGCTCAGCCCGCGCTGGGGGACTGCGCCTGCGCAGAGGCCGGCACGCCTCGCCCCGCCCCTCGTCCATCTAGCCCCGCCCCTTTCTCTAGCCCCCGCCCCTTCTCCCTCCCGGGTACCAGCTTCCTCTGGGCGCGGTGCCACGACTCCTTGATCTCCTTCCTCCGCTTCTCGTGTTCTTGCCGCCGCAGGTTCAGGGGCTGGGGCGAGACGGGCCATGAGTGGGGACCCCGGCCCCCTGCCCCGCCCGCCCCCCGGGCCGCAGCCCACCTGCAAGAAGGTCTGCGTCTGCAGCGTGCCCGCCGCCTGCACCAGGCCGTGGCCGAACTCCAGGTCCTGCTCCAGGGTCAGCGAGTAGATGGACAGGAGGGGCATGTGGGGCTGCGGGGGCGAGGCCGGCCGTCACGGGGGGGAGGGCGGGATGGGAGGGGTGCCCCAGCACCCCAGCCCTGCGGAAGCCCTGCCACCTCCCCGCTAGCGTCACCAGCAGAGTACGCATGGGAAACCGCTGCCCTTGGGCCTCCCCGGTGGGGCCGAGACGCAACCCGGCCCCGGGACCCCTGCCCGGCGACCCGGGGCCCACCTCCTGCATGAGGCTCTGTCTGCAGTTGAGCGCGATCTTCTGCAGGCCTTTGGCAAAGTCCATTTCTGCGGGGGCAGGGGCGTGAGTGCGGGGGGGGGGGCGGGGGGGGCAGGCCCTCCGCCAGACCCCACCCGGGGCCGGCGCTCACCCAGCGTGGTGCGCTTCTCCAGGTAGCCGATGAGGTCCTTCATGTACTTGGCCATGTTCTTGGCGTACTGCAGCGCCGCGTCCACGCCGCCCTCACAGCGCTGCAGCAGTACGTCCACGGCCTCGGGGGGCGGGCAGCCTGCGGGGGGCGGGGCCTGCTCAGCCCGGGCCCCACCCCCAGCCCCCGCGGACCCACTCGCCCTCCTCTGCCCCAGGCCTCTGCTCCTCCGCGGCTCAGAGACTCACCCTCGTCACAGTCCTCCGCGCCGGTGGGGGCGCCCTCGCTCCCTGGTCCGTACAGGCTCTCCATGGACTGTCAGGGGGGGACACGGTCAGTCCAGCCCCGGGCTGGGGACGGTCCAGGCCCCCTGGACAGGGCGGGAGACCCAGGTCCACAGAAGGAGCAGGGGGGACCCACCCGCTGGGCTGGCCTGACTCCGGGCTACATCCAGGCCACCCTGCTCACCTGGCTCGGGTCCCCGGGGGGCAGCGACAGGAGGGTGCTGCTGTCCACTTCGCCCATGAGGAACTCGGACACGCTGCAGGGCCGGTGGGTCAGCATCAAGAGGCACATGGGCTCCCCCCTCCCCAGCCCCAGCTCTGCACCCGCCCATGGCTCACGTGCTGCTGAAGGACACTGCGATCGTCTCCAGGGCCTTCTCAAACTCCTGCTTGTCTGACTCATTGTTACACTCATAACGGAAGCCTGGGAAGCAGAGACAAGGGCGAGGGGGTTTGGCCGCGCTGGCAGGTGACCACCCCTGCAACTAACTGAAGGGGGCCCTTAGCCCAGAGGGAGCATTGGAGCAGTTGTGCCCATCAAACTCCTATGCATCCTTCAAAACCCACTTCAAACATCCCCTCCTCCAGAAAGCCCTCCCAGGCAGAGAGCCCTTGCTGCCCTGCCCTGGCTGGCTGACCTTTGATCTTGGCAATGAGGGTTCCAGCAGCTGTGAGTGTCTCCAAGGTGTTCAGCAGTGGGTACTTGTAGACGACCTGGTGTATCACACGTAGGGCCTCACCCAGGCGCTCATGGGCCAGCGGCCGGCGGGCCTCAAGGAGGTCTGCCGGGCAGATCGAGCGTGAGCAGGGAGAGAGGGGCCTGGCCCCAGGGAAGGCCTGCCCACCTCCTCCTCAGAGCTCCTGGCCCCAGGTGGGGAAACTGAGGCAGAGATGGGAGAGGGCAGCTGCCCGAGGCTCTCTGTGGGACCTCAGGCGAGGCCCTGTCCCTCTCTGGCCTAGGCAGTCCCCTCTGCTCAGCACACTCTTTCCTCGTCTCTCCGGAAAGCAAACCTCCATGCAGCCCGCCTGCCCCTTCCCTGCCCCTACCTCTCAGGGCTGCTCAGGGCCCTGCCCAGCTCTCTCCCTGCCCTGCCGACCTGGGCCCTGGGCCTTGAGCACCCTGTTATCCCACTCTCTCCCCACAGCCCCCCCACGAGCCAGGCACTCTCATCATCCCCATTCTGCAGATGGGGAAATCGAGGCAGAGAGGGGACGTCATTTCTCAAGGACCACGCGGCTCCTCCATCTACACTAACTCCAAAAGTACGAGAACACCAGGCCGAGGGACCCTGCCTGGCTTTATCTCGACGGCCACGGGAGCCACCGAAGGTGTGAGAGCAAAAGAGGGCGAGGTTGGACGTGCTTCTTGGAAGGTGGCTTTTAATGCCCTCCACGAACGTTCTTAATTGGACAAAAGCAGGCAGAACAGTGTGCTCATTAGTGGAAACAAAACGTGGGGACGCAGGAAGGGGGGAATGAGCAGTCGCTGGGGGCCCGGCGGCTGGGAGGACAGCTGGGCGCCTGTGCCCTCTGACTCTGCCTGTAGACGATGCTTCGGGATCCCGGGCGTGCACCGACGCACGGCTTGTCAGGCCATGCTGTGGCGGCGTCCCATATAAAGTGGAGGAAGATGGGCACGGATGTTGGCCCAGGGCCAGTCTTCCTCAGCAAAAAGAGGAGGATTGGCATGGATGTTAGCTCAGGGCTGATCTTCCTCACACGCACACACACACACACAAACCTAAGTGGAGACGGAAAACAGTGCCCCGTCCCTTTTCAGCTCCGAGGACCCTGCTGAATGCCTCCGCCGCAGCGGCGGAGTCGCTGGTCGGAGCCCCCTCCCGGGCCGCTCCACGTATTCGCTGCCTGAAGCCGAGGCCACCTCCGGGAGGTGCAAAGGGTCTTCAGAAACCCGGAGAAGCCGCTGGAGAAGGGCCGGGCCACACCCCTCCCCCGGACATTCCTTCCACGACCCCGCCCCTCGCGTCGCCTGGGCCTTGGCCGCCCGGGTCCCTGCAGCACAACCCCCCTCCTCCCGGGAAGCTGAAGGCAGGGGTGACCCCGGCGAAGCCCCGACATGCCCAGCTTGGCACGGCCACGGCAAGCGCGCGGCAGCCGCTGCGTCCCCAGCGCCACGTGCTCCTGGCTGGGCTGGGGGACCCCGCAGCCCGCTGTCCCCTCACCTCGGGGCCCCGCGCGGCAGCGCTCAGGGCCCTGCTCCAGCGCCGCGTGCAGCGTCCCGCAGATACACATGGCGCGGCCGTCGGGGCGCGGGGACCGGGAGCGCGGAGCACGCACAAGGCGACTGGCCGGTCTGGGGGGTCTCTGGTGGCCGGCTGGCGGACAAACCGGCTCTGGCCGGTCCGAAGGCCCCACCCCCGCCGAGGGAAGCCCCGCCCCGCCCCGCCGTCCCGCTGGCGCTGGCCGGGTCCTCCATCCCCCGACTCAGGGCGCAGAAGCCTGGGACCCGAGCCCACCTGATTCGGGTGGGACAGGCCGAGAGCGGGAGGGGAAACTCAGGCCCACAGGCGACGAACAGGGCGCGAGGAGGCGCCGGGAAGGGGCGGGCGGCCCTGGGAGACCCCGCCTGGCCCACGTGGACCCCGGCGCCCGCCACCTCCTGGGCTGACAGCTCCGGCGTCCCCAAGACACGGTGTGGTTCTCACTGTCCCCACAAGAGTCACAATATGCCGAGGACGTCTGGGTGCAGTAAGCACCCAAAGGTCGTCGCCCCACTTCACAGATAAGACACTTGAGGCTGAGAGAGGGGGCGGCTCGCCCGGGATCTCATAGCTCGGCTGGGGGGCGGCACCCGAGCTCCAGCCCACATCCTCTCCGCTCCAGGCGCTCCTCCGAGAAGGGCGCCCCCGCTCGGGCCCCCGCCCGGACCCGGCCTCCAAGGAAGCGCCAGGATCGGAAAGGAACCGAGATTACGGTTTCCCCAGGAAACGGCTCGGCCCCGGCCCCTGGGACCCGATAACCCCAGGGGCTCCCACCCCCCCACCCAGCAGGGCCGGGCCTCCGCCACAGAGCCCCTCATTAGGGCTGGAAAGGCGCAGAGGCCACTCTGCTCTGCAGGTTGAGATCAAATCCCGGCTCTGGCCCCTCCTTGGCTAGGTAAGCCAGAGGTCAGAGGCCCACTTGGGGCCTTGGTTTCCTCATCTGTAAACCGGGCGCCTAGGAGGAGCAGGTTGGTGCACTGGGCAAGGCTCTGGCGCTGCGGTTTCCGGAGGAGCGTGCAGGGGCCACACGCAGCACACGAGGTGCCCGCCCGCTGCCAGGGACAAACAGGAAGCAGATGAAAATAACTCGGCAGGAAGCCTGGCTGTCAGTGGCCGCGTGGAGGAGAAAACGGAACTGCCATCCCACAGGCGACTCACTGCATAAACTCCTGCAGCTCACGTGCGGGCCCGGCCTCCTGCTCCTCCTGAATCTCTCCAGCCAGACCTGAGCCTGCCTGCAGTCCACCTTGGTCCAACATGCAGATCCGACCTTGTCCCACCTCTGCTCTAACACCTTCCATGGCTCCCCATCACCCCCAGGACAACATCCTGGGTCCCCCTGCCTGCCGTCCTCAATGCCTTCAGCCTCACACACTTCAAACACCAGTGACACCCCAAACCCGTTCCCCGAAATGCATCTCCATTTCATGTTTCTGGGCCTGTGCATACGACGTACCCTCTGCCTCAGTGCCTTTCCCTCCTAGTTGCCACTGAACTCCTACACATCCCTCAGAGCCTTAGCTGCCGTGGCTTCTTCCATGAAGCCCTCCTGGCAACCCCCTTCTGAGCCTCCCCAAGTCCCTCCCTCCACCCAGCCTTGACCCCACAGGGTTTGGGATATCTGCGCCCGGCTCTGCCTTCCATCCAGGTCTCGGCGTCCCTGCTGGTTCTCACCGTCACGAAGAACACACTCCTTGAGCTTCTCGAGGCCCTCGGCGAAGCGGGCCACGTAGGCTAGTAGGTGGGAGATGTCCTCCACAGTGTCGGGGCCGGGCCCCTCGATGGGCACATCGGCGGGGCTGGCTGCGGTCATGGGGCTGCGGTGGCCCCGGCCCAGCGTCCAGGAACTGCCGCCGGACAGCGGGAAGCCGGCGGCACTGGCATGGCGGCTCAGGCTGGTGGGCCTCTTGAGCGTACCCGCGGCCTTGACATTGGAGGCCGCGCTCAGTGGCTCCAGGCTGGGTCCGAGGGACACTGCATCCGGCCCGTCTTTCCTCGGCAGCTCCTGGGAGGGTGGGGGGGGGTGAGCTGGTAACGCCAGTGCTCCAGGCCAGGCACCGCCTCAGTTTCCCCAGAAGTGAAGTGGGGCTCTGGAGGGTCTTCAGCCTGAGCCCATAGGGGTCAAAGGCCACAGGTCGGAGGGCCGAGATTTGGTGCAGTGCCCCTCCCACACCTGTTACCCAACATCCTCTTCCCCAGAGCTTTCACAAACAACCGTCTCTGCCCAAACCACAGCCAGGGGCGGGGCCTGTGGGGGTGTGGGGGAGGGGGCACCCCACTTCCTGGAGGGGGGAGGGAGGGCCAGGGGAGGGTCCCCAGCCCTGTAGCCCCCTCAGGCTGCTGCAGACGCACCTACTCCCTGGTAAAGACCCCTCCAGTGACTCTTATACCCAAGGGTCCTCTGGACTCCTGGGCCCCCCAAGACTCCCAGGCCTTGTGGACACCACCCGACTTTGTAGAGCCTCTGGGTGCCGGAGACAAACCCCAGGACCCGGTCCCATGCTCTGCTGCCCTACAAGCCTGGGTCTCAATGTCTGTGCCACAGCCCTCACAGCCAACGGCACGCCGACCCCCAGATCTCCTGAGCCCCCCTCCTACAGAGTTCAGACCCAATGCCACCCCCACTCTAGCAGCCTCCCCACCCACCCCCTGGGCCCCACAGCCCGCCCTGGAGGGGATGGAGGATGCGCGCACACCCCAGAAGCTCCTACCACAAGCTGAACGCCGGGGTCCCGACCGGTACCTCGCGGCGCCCCCAGTCCGGCCCGGTGGGGGCTGTAGCTGGCCCGAGCCCCCCGCCGCCGGCCCAGCATGGCGTTGCCGGGCCCCCACCCCGCCCGCCGAGCACAGGATGCACCCTGGCCTCCTGCTGCCCGAGTGTCTCTTCAAGGTCCCCGCCCGCCGTGCGCTCCCCGCGGAGGCTCACTCACCCCCAAGGGCTGCGGGCTGGGGCTTCCCGCGCGGTTCTTTTTGGAGATAGAAGGGGTTTTCATGAGCTCCCGCTTCTTCCTGGAGAACATGGTGGGGCCGGGGCCGAGCGGCCCGAGGGGGAGGGCCGAGGTGGGGCAGGCGGGGGTCTCAGCGTCGCAGCTCCCGGCCCTGGCCGCCTCGGGACCACATTGTCACCGGCCACCCCCTCCCCAGCTGTCAGGCCCACGTGACAGACCCAGCCCTCATTGGCGGGTCCTCCCTCCACAGGAAAAGGCCTCCGGGGCCGGTGACGCAGACCTGTCTCCCACCCTCCCAGCCTCAGCCTGCCCCTCCGCAGAGTGGGCTCGAAGGTGGGGTCCCAGGCCCCGCCCCCAGCCCGGCCCCGCCCCCAGCTTCCGCTTTCGGGAGCTCCGCGCGCGTCGGACCGCGCGCCCCCGCCTGGCCCCGGCGACCCGGACGGTAGAGACGCTGATCCTTACCCCGACCCACCCAGACGCAACCAGAGGGCAGACACGCGCGAATGACACTCCGGGACAGACTGGGACACGTGCTCACATAGCTCCGCAGACGAAACGGATGACCCGGAGCTGCGCGCCCAGTCCCCGGACACAGACGCCCGCCCTCCAGCCCCCGTCCTCTCACGGGCGACCCGCCCCCGCCGCAGACCCCAGGGCCTGGGCAGCGCAAGGCATAGCGGGTCGCCTTCCCCTCGGCCCCGCGCCCGCACTGGCCACAGCTCAGCTCCCCGCCCCTACCCCCGCCCCGTCCCACATTCCAGGGCGCACACTGACCACCGGACGTGGTGGACGGCGGGATTGATAACGCCCGAGGTCACCAGGCCGACTCCTCACATCCCTGGGGTCGCCCCGAGGCCCGGGTCATCGGCGTTGTGCACAGATCCCCACCCCCGCCCCTCCCCAGGTCCCTATCCCCTCTCCTGCTCCCACAACCACCTCTTCTCTTGGAGCTCTCCCAGTCTGAGCCCTCTCCCCTCCCCAATTCTTCTTCCCCTCCCCTTCCGAAGTCCCACCCTCAATCCCAAAACCTCCGAGCCCCTTACTTTTCCCAACGCCTGCCCTCCACTGACCTGGGGTGGGAGGGGAGGATCTCCGGGGCACAGGGCGCGCAGGCCGCAGCCCCTCATGCCAAACCCTGCTCTCCAGACCCGGGTCCATCCGCAAGCCCAGCCCAGAAGTCCCTTGAGGATCCTCTGCCTACCACTCATGATGGCTCTGGGGGCCGGGATCAGGGGTGAGGGCAGGCTCGGTGGCTGGCTGGCTGGTGGGTGGGCTCCTGGCCGACGGCAGGCCTGAGGGCCGGGCCACCCCCGCCTGGCTCCTCTAAGCTGGCCTGAACATTCCCGAGCCCTGACCTCATGCCCACTTCATGACCAGGCTCTCACAGGTACCGCCCTCAGGCGCCAGACCCACGTGGGCACTCACTCCCCGGCCCCCCATAGAGGCCTTTACAGCTGGGGGTCCAGTCCGCTATAGCTGGGCTCTTACCTGCGCCCTGCGAATTGCACCTGTGTCCACAAACCCACACATGCCCACCCTCGGGTGCAGGGGCCGGTAAACAGTGCACAGAGAGGCATTTTCGGACACGCGCGCACACAGTTGCACACCACGGCTCCTCTTTATTATTTCCTCCAGGGCGGCGGCCCCTCTCGGAGCCTCTGGGTCCCGCCCCAGCCCCTCTGCCCGGCCTGTGTCGCTCTCAGGGCCTCCCACCAGCCCCACGTAGAAGGTAGGCTCAGAGCACTGTCCCGGCCGTGCTGGGGTCGTCGAGGAATCGGGTGATGAGTTTGGGCCGCTGCGGGCCCGGCACAGGGTCCGCCCCCTCTCCTGCCTCCTGCTTCTCCTCCTCGTCCTCCTCCTTCCCCTGGTCCTTGGAGAAGTACAGGAATACCTAGCGGGCGGGTGGCCCGAGGACACAGGAGAGGTGGTCAGCCTGAGGGCCTGGCCCCCAGCCCCGCCCTCACCCCAGCCGCATCCCGGCTGCGGGCACCTCCTCCAGCGTGGTCTGGCTCACAGAGAAGTCCTCCACGCCCTGCTCCGCGCCGTGCGCCGCCAGCTCGCCAAAGACGCGCCACAGGGCGCAGCGCCCTCCCGGCGGCAGCTGGAAGCGAAGGCGCCCGCCATGCGCCTCGCGCAGCTCGGCCCCCGGGAACGCCGCCGCCACGAAGGCCACTGCCGGCTCGGACCGCGCCGCGGGCACCCGTAGGGTCAGCGTGTGGCCGGCCCCGAATCTGGGGTGAGCGGGAACGGAGTTACTAGACACGCCCATGGCCCCGCCCCACAGCTCTCCAGCTCTTCTGACCCCGCCCCCTACACCTGGCCCCTCTTGACCCCCGGCCCAACACGTGACCTCATCCCGGCTCATCCTTGCCCCGCCCACATGCTCATCCTGTCTCTAGCCCCGCCCTCATAAGGCGGTGCCCACACTCAGGCTACGCCCCCAGCTCGCTCTCCAGGACCGTCCACTCCTGAGCCTCCTCCCCCTCCGCCCACGGACGGCGCTCACCCATCAGACCCCGCCCCTCATTCATCTCTCCTGGACCATCCACGGCCCTCGCCTCCCCTCCGGTTAGAGCCTAGCTGACCCCACGTGGCTCCGCGTCTGGTCTCTCTGCTGGCCGCACCTACACCCCCACCCTCATCCTCCGGCTCCTGCCTGCACAGCGGCCCTAGGGGCCTCGCCCCGCTCACCTGCCCTTGAGGTGCTGCGCGCTGCCCAGGCAGCGGAACCGCCCGTTCACCATGATGGCCAGGCGCGTGCAGAGCGCCTCGCACTCCTCCATGCTGTCGGGGGGACGAGCGCCATGAGCTCCGGCCAGGCCTGGGCCTGCGCTACCCCGACCGAGGACCCTCCCCATCCAGGCTCTGGACACTTCCCGCAGCCCAGACTGCTCTGGCCCGGGCCAGGTACCACCGCCGTGTGTCCACCGACTCGGGCCTGGCATCCTCGGCCCCAGGTCAGGGCCACTCCATGTCCCTGTGCTGTCGACAGCCTCTGCTCGGCTCCTGGTCCACCTCTCTCCCCGGAGCCTAGACCACCCTGACCCACAGCCCTGGGCGTCGGGCGCGGGGCCCACCTGTGCGAGGTGAGCACCACGGAGCGGCCCTCCCGCACCACAGCCAGGATGCTGTTCCAGAGGAAGCGCCGCGTGCTGGGGTCCATGCCGGTGGTCGGCTCGTCCTGGGAGGGGGCGATGCTTCAGCCCCGCCCCGCCCCGTCCAGGCCCCGCCCCCAGGCCCCGCCCCCACGCACCAGGAAGACCACGGGCGGGTCGCCCACCAGCGCCACCGCTGTGGCCAGCTTCCGCTTGTTGCCGCCGCTGTAGGTGCCCGCAGGCCGGTCCGCGTACTGCGGCAGCCCCAGGCGCGCCAGGCCCAGGCTCGCGGTCTGCGGGGCGGGCCGGAGTGGGGGACCCCAGAGTGAATGTGGGGGGGCAGAGTGAGAGCAGGGGGTCGGGATGAACATGGGGGGGCAGAGCGAGAGCGGAGGGGGGGTGGAGTGAGCATGGGGGGACAGAGTGAGAGCCGGGGGGCGGGGTGAGCATGCGGGGGACAGAGTGAGACTGGGAGGGCAGAATGCGAGTGGGGGCGTGGAGTGAGCATGGGGGGGAGTCAGGGGGGCCACAGTGGGGGAAAAGGGGGACCCAGAGTGAGTGAGGGAGGGCTGAGTGAACCAGGGGGTGCACAGTGTGGGGTGGGGGCCAGACTGAGAGTAAAGGGGGGCTACACTGAGCACTGGGGGGGCCACAGCGAGGATGGGGCGGGAAGGGAAGAGAAGGGGGCGAGGCTCCATCCGGGGGCGGGGCCCCATCCTGGGGGCGGGGCCGAGTGGGCAGAAACGGGCCTGGCGCAGGCGCAGGAAGGCGCGAAGCCGGAGGTGGAGTCACGGCGAGTGGGCGGCGCCCCAGCCCGGAGGGGTCAGGGAGGGGGCTCCCTAAGCGGGGTGGGAGTCAGGGTGCAGCCTGGATGACCGTGGAGAGGGGGGTGGGCCCACGTGAGTGGACGAGCTGGGGGTGGGGGGGCGTGGGCAGGGAGAGCAAAGCTGGGGTGACATCCAGAAGCCGGGGCGGGGGGGGGGTGTCACCTGGGCAACCTGAGCCTCGGGGACACCGCGCAGGCGCGCGAACAGCTCCAGGTGCTCGCGGCCGGTCAGCAGCTCGAAGACGGCGTCAGACTGGGGGCAGTAGCCCATGCGGCGGTGCGCGGCGGCTGGTTCGCGGGCCACGCTGGGGACGGGGGACAGAGGCTCAGGGCACTGGCCAGGCCCCGGCCATGCCGGAGGCAGACAGGAGTCTCAGGACCCCCACCCCGGACCCCCCTGGTAAGGGAGAGGGTGTCTCAGGGCCCTCCACCTGCAGGGGTGTGGGGTACCGGGGCCCAGAGCCCCTCACCTGTGGCCTGCCAGCACCGCCTCGCCCCCGCTGGGCAGCGTTTCCCCGGTGACCATGCGAAAGGTGGAGGTTTTCCCCGCGCCGTTCACGCCCAGCAGCCCGAAACACTGCGGGTTCACCCACAGACGGCGCTCAACAAAGCCCGGGCCCCGTCCCAGCGCCTCAGGTCCCAGGGGCGCGTTCCTCGGTTTCCCCTTGGAGGGCTGTGGACACGGGGGCCCCTGGGGCAGACACTGGGGGTGTGCGGGGAGGCGTAAAGCTGCCACTTAGCAGGAACGGCCGTCAGCACAGGAGCTGTGTTTAATCAATCCTGGCACACAGTAGGGGTCCTATTGAGGCCGTACACAGCAAGTGCTCAATAAATCCCAGGGCACGAGATCACTGGATGTCTCCTGCCACACAGCGGGTACTCAGGCTGGGTGTGCAGTCAGCCTGAGGCAGAGAGGTTGGCTGGCACACAGTAGGTGCTCAATAAAGGGCAGCAGGCTCATAGTAGGTGTTCAGTAAAGGGTGGTATGCACACAGAAGGTGCTCTGTAAAGGGCTGTGTGTGCACAGTAGGGCAGCCTCTCACAGCCCCTGCACCAGGTCCTCAGCTCTGACTCACCTCACCAGGCGGGATCCCCAGGCACAGGCGGTCGACAGCTGGTGTCCTCTGCCCCTGGTACACCTGGGAGGGCAGCAGGTCCCTGAGACGGGTGGGTGGGCCAGTGGGAGCCCCCTCCCCACCACGCGCTGCCTGGCCGCACCCACCTTTGTCAGGTTCCACAGCACCAACACGTCCCCTTGGGTGGCCCCTCGGACCACCCGTTCCCGCTCATGGGCCACGTCCTCATCCTCCTCCCGCAGGGGTGGCAGCGGCCTCAGCTTGGGTCTGAGGGCAGAGACGTGAGTGGGCCCAAGGCCAGGCCCCGGCCCCTGCCACCCTACCCCGGGCCCCACTGACCGTGGCAGGAGGCGGTGACGGTGCTGCAGCAGGAGCGTGAAGAGGAGGAAGAGGGGCCCCTGCACCACCATGGCCAAGAGGTTCTTGCCGACCACCTCCCAGCGCAGGGGTGACTGGAAGTGCCCATCTCCTGGGGGGACAGGAAGGAGCGACTGGGTCCTTAGGGGGTTTGGTTTCTGGGCCCTTCCTCATCCCAGTCACCTTGGGTTCTTAAGGGAAAAGACAAAGAACTGGATAGGCCACTCAACTGTCATAGAAAACAGTGATATCACCACCTCTCTTATTTAGGGCCTGAGATCTCTTGTGATGTGACCCAAGATGGAATTAGCTTTTATGGCCACTTTGCTGCACCTCTAACATGGCCCGGACTTGGAGCCACCTAAGACCTTCAGGTTTCTTCTCAGGGGCTGATGTTTGTCCCCACCCTGTATAATTCACTCCTGGCTGGCACTTCTCCACCTGGAAGGAGGTTCTCACCCAAGCGCTCAAAGGCGTCAGCCACGGCCTGGTTCCGCACCATGTCAATGAGCCCCCGGCCCAGGCAGAAGTGGGGGAAGATCAGGAAGACCCGCTTCAGGATCTGGCTCACCTCCTGCAGCTTCTGCTCGGGGGTGGGAAGAGGGAGGCGGGTCAGGGGCTGAGGCCGAGGCCCCAGCCCAGCCCTGGCCCGAGGCCCAGGCTTGCGGAGCCCCACCTGATCGGAGAAGAGCTCCAGCACAAAGGTGGCCATGCTGCCATTGATGCCGATGAAGAGATTGATGCAGGTGAGCACCACATAGGCCGTGCTGGGCACGGAGAAGAAGAAGGAGGCCGGGTACATGAGCGGCGTGATGGACCAGCTGGAGGGCAATGGGAGTCGCTGGGTAACCACCCAGACGGGGCTAAGTGGCCCTGAGGGGACTACAGACCCTTCCCGTCCTCCCTGCTGTATCTCTATTAATGTGTCTGGACAAGGTGAGCTTTTAAAGCCACCTTGGCATACCATTGAATTAGATCACACTTGGGGTCCCCTCAGACCTCCAGATCCTCTCCTTGGGAGCTGCTACAACATTAGGCAGGGCAGCAGGGCAGTCAGGAAGAACAGGCCCTGAGGGGTTGGGGCCTCACCCATACAATAATAGCAACAGCAGGAGAGCGGGCAGGTTGGCAGGGGCCACGTACGCCCTCTGCTGGAAGGCCAGAAAGATGAGCACCACGATGCATGCTGCCACCAAGTAGTTACACTGCATTGGAGACAGCAGTTAACCCCCATCGGCGTGCGGGGGCAGGAACAGCCACTCTCCGCCCTGTGCCCCACCCCAACCTCCCTGCATTTTGGGCAGCAGGACACCAGGTCTCCCACCATCCCCAAGACTTCCCCCGGGGCCATCCTGGACAAGTCCCCGTGCCTCCGGGCAGTCCCCGCACCATGTCCCAGAGAAAGTTGCTGAGCCAGTAGAGGGTGGGAGGCAGGCCCCCCATGAACTGCAGGTGCTTGGCTCCCGTGACGCGCTCCTCGATGAGGATGAGTGTGAAGCTGGCCGGGATGAAGGACATGGCGAACACCACGCAGATGGAGACGAGCACGTCCACCGAGGAAGCCATCCTGGGGCGGTGGGGAGGGCGCAACGGTTGCTCAGAGCGGGGCTGGGCAGGCCATCAGTGGGTCTATGGGGCTGGCTGCCAGTGGGGAGACGGCCCGAGCCACTTGGGATGAGGGGGGCTGGGTGATTTGGGAGGGAGAAGTTGTACAGGTCTCTGGTGGGATAAAGGTTGACGTGATGAGGACGTGTGGGCTGCTGAGGGGACTGGAGCCTGTGGAGCCTGTGATGTCGCATCACCCCAGCCTGGGGAGCAGAGGAGCAGTTCCTGTCCCCCATTCCCACAGCAGAGCATGGCGGAGTGCACATACACTCCCACCACTTAACACAACAGAGAAACCGAGGCAGGGGAGGCCATGCAGGGCAGACGGACTCACAGCACGGCCTTGGACAGCTGCTCCTTGGTGAGGTTCAGGGGGTGGTTGAGTGTGGTGATGCTGTGGGCGCTGCGGGCGGGGCCCGGGGGCAGGTGGGCACGTAGGAGTGCGTTGTTGGCTCGGTTGACAAAGGCCACCATGGCGTGCCAGCCCTTGTTGTTGAACCAGATCTGGGGCGGGGGGTCAGGGCTGAGGGGTCAGGGCCATGGGGTCAGACCTGCCCCCACCGGCTGCCCGCCTGAGACCCCTGGTTCCCACCTTGAGGCTGTCCCGGGCATCCAGGCCGTGAGCCCAGGCTGTGAGGTTGTTCAGGACGTGGTCGAGGGCCCCACCGGGCTGGGGGCTCAGCAGCGCCCGCAGCTCCTCCAGTGAGCGGCCCACCTCACGGCCCGAGGGCAGGCCCGGGTCGCGGCCCCCCAGGGAGAAGCCCCCGTACCTGCGGGGCAGGGGGGCAGCTGAGGGCCGGGGAGGACGGGGCGGGAGAGCCCCCAGCGGGCGGGCAGGGGGTCAGCAAGGGGACCCGGGGGGCCCTCCTCACCTGACCTCGTTCACCCACTTCTTGGTCTTCAGGCTGCGGGAGAGACGGACAGATAGACAGACACGGGGTGGGGACAGCGGTGTGAGACAGACGCCCGGGAGACGGTGGGACACGCAGGGGCACCCCGGCCAGGGTCCACCCGACCTCCCCCGGGGCCAGACCTCCTGGGCCCGCAGACCCGTGTGACAGCCGGGGAAACCGAGGCGGGCGGCACTCACCCCTGGCGCACGAGGCGCGGGTAGGTCTTGACCAGGAAGTCGGACAGGTTCCGGCCCGTGAGGTTCTGCACCATCTCGCCCGAGCCGCTCAGGGCCTGGGGCGGCGGGGGGCCGCCGGCCGCCGGGGGGC